TGCCCTATTTTATTTGTTCCTATTATTTATTGCTCTTTGGTGAGGGCAATAAATAATACTGGTGAACCTCAAGGATCATGATTTTAAAGCTCGAGAAAATTCAAAGCTTAATTCAAGTGGAGAGGGAACATTCTGATATTTCTGATGTAAAAAGACAGATCCCCTTTTTGTGCGAAGTTTTGCTGGGGTAATGGCAGGGAAAAGCTGAGCACCCTCCTTCTAGTCTCCCGGTGTGGCTGGTGCTCAGAGGAAGGTGAAATGGTCTTTGGGCTGCATTGGCATTGATGGAGAACAGCAAGGTGGGAAGTGCCTATAGTCTCTGGGAATTGGGGTAAATTCTCCTTGCAATGTTCCCAGAGAGTGGCAAGCTCTGGCTATACTTGCACCAGAGGAAGCAAGCTTCAAAAATTGTGCTGGGTTATTCAGTCCCAAAAAGATGTGAGCTCCACAGCTATGAAAAGGCTGTGAGGAGACTAACATGCAGAGTGCTAAGGGAAAGAGACTAATCTGGCAAGGCCACATGCTGTCTGAGACCAACTATACAAGATTCTAGAAAAGGCAAGTTTTCAAATATAAATTTATACACACCATTGATGAGCTTACAATTATTTTTTCATATGAAAATAATATGTACATGTTTATTGTAGAAATATGTGCACCCAGACATGTGCACATATTTGTCTATAAAACAGACTGCATATTTCTTGGGGTTCTTTTTTTGTGGGACTAGGGTTTGAACTCAGGGCTTCATGCTTGCAAAGCAGGTGTTCTACCACTTGAGCCACACCTCCAGTCCATTTTACTCTGGTTATTTTGGAGATGGAGTCTTGCACACTCACTGCTCGGGCTGGCCTTGAAACGTGATCCTCTGAATCTCAGCCTCTAAAGTAGCTAAGAGTACACGTCTGAGCCACCTGTAATATTCTTCTGTAATAAGCTGGTTGTTTCACTTATTGAAACTGACTGACCATCCTCTTTTTTGATAAACTGACTTTTTTCCATTTATTAAAATTAGATGAACATTATTCTATGTTACCAAAGACTTTTATTCAATACTTTGTCTCAAGAAGCTTTTGTATGGCTTTTTCGTAATTTTCCTACTGTTTAACAATTAATTTTTATTTTTTTCAATTTTTCCCTTCTTAGCTACTTCTGTGAATGTCTTTAGGAGTAAAAGTTAAGAAATAGAACAGCTGGGTCCAAGCAGGAGCAATTTTAAAGTCTACTGATCACTGTTGCTGAATTACTCTTACCAAGTGTACTCATTTGCGCTGGTATTTTATTGGGACTAGTTACTGTCCTTCTTTCAACCAACCTTCCCTAATTTGACAGTCCCAAATGGTGTCCCATGTTACAGGCTTTTCCTGGACCACAGTGAGATTGAATATTTGTTTAAGTGTTTGCTGACCCACCAGTACTTTCCTCTTGAAAAGTGCTTGTTTGGTATGGAGATGTAGCCCCGAGAATACTTGCCTAACATGTGTAAGACCCTCGGTTTGATCCCCAGTAACTCATGTGCACACACACAACCCAGAAAATGAAAATTAGTTGTCTGTGTCCTTTACACAGTTGTCTCTTGGGGGTTCCTCTTTTTCTTACTGACTTATAAAAACATTTTGATATAAAGTCTATCAGCACTGTCATATATACAGTGTGAGCATTTCTCACTCCATTCTAACTCTGTTTATAATGAGGTTTTAGAAAATGACTTGGTTCCTTTGTGTTTTCTGCATTCCTTGTTTAATCTTTCTGACACTGATATGGCACTAGAGCTCACTTCCTTAAAGATGTTACTAAATCCCCCATTCTCTTTCCAAAGCACACAATTATCATCTGGTGGAAACTGTGTAATTGCAGCATCATCAGCATTTCTATTGCTACTCAAGGAACTCTAAGGAGCACAGTGAATTTTCCTTGATCATTGGTCTCCTTATGAATCTTGGCAAGTGTTCAGCTTGTAGGCAAGGATATCCAGGCACTCACAGTTTGCTGTGCAGTTGGCTACAAATGATTGAGTTTTTTTTTTTTTTAATCTATCTAAAAGAACTCTATGTCTCTCTACCACTAAATTATGATATCTTATCTTACAGACTTAACAGCATCTAATAGTTCTATCTCTAGGTAATGTGATCCAGCTGGAGATGTTTTAGGACAAAAGGACATGTTTCTCTAGCCAGTAAGTAAAAGTGTTTTTTTTCAGCTATAAAAGGACAAAAGGTTTTGAAATGATTATACTGGGCAGGGTTTCCTAGACTTGTTTGTTTGGCAGTTGGCCATATTGCTAAGCCTGAGTCTTCCAAACTTCTTCCATTTTTGTAGCAGTGTGAAGAATTCACTGGTTGAGACCAGAGTCCCTTTATGGTGTGATGATTAATGTCCAGGGTCTTTTTAACCTAGAGGCAATCACAATGGGACATCTAACAGTTTCATCAGCAGACCATCGATCAATGTGTGTTAAGAATTAAAGACGTGATCCTCTTTCTTTTTGAGTTAAGTAACTTTACTGCCTTTTCAGGATTGTGTGTTTTCCTCCTTAAGAAAACATTCACATTTGACACAGCAAATATAACAAGAATTGTACAGGATCTGTAGTTTCAGTGAGATGTCAGCAAAGATGTCTAACTTAGCTAAGGTGCTGTTTCATCTCATTTTCAAGGTTTTGACAGCTCTGTGACATGGGTCTCCTTTGCTGATTTTCTATTTATGTTTTGTCATCTTGAAACCAAGAGTGCTGTCATCTGTTTTCATTGCCCTACTGCAAGAAGAAATGGTCTACCTCTACTCCCACACTCATTTTCAAACAAAATCTTTTTGGCAGTTTTGGAGCTTGAACTCAGAGCCTCACTGCCTGTGGCACCCTTGTACCACACTGCCACCTTGTTCTGCTTTAGTTATTTTTTTAGATAGAATGTTGATCTTTTGCCTGGGGCCAGTCTCAGGCTGCGATCCACCCACCTCTGCCTTCTGTATAGCTGGGATTGTATGCCACCATGCCTGACTTGTTCTTTGAGTTAGGGTCTTGTTAACTTTTTTTTTGCCTAGGCTGACCTCAAACCACAATCCTCCTATCTCTGCCTCCCAAGTAGCTGGAATTACAGGCATGAGCCACTGTGCCTGACCCCAATTTCATTTCTTAAGACATTACTATTACTAGAGTTAGACCAACAATTGTAAATACTACAATAATTCGTCTCAAAGCACATATTGAGGAATCAATAGTGAGTAGGTACTTTTTGTGTTCCAAGATCAACAGCAACAACCATTTGTGATATTCTAGTCATGGTTCTAAATAGCTATACATATGTAGTTGCTTAAGCCTGAAAGTAACCCCATGGGGCAGGGGCTTTAACTGTCCCCCTATTACAAATGAGTATAGCAAACATGGTAAGTGGCTGAACATGAAAAACCTGGCTCTAGAAACTGCCCCCCTTATCTTTGAGAAAGGGTGCTACTATGTAGCCCAAGTGGGCCTTGTACTCAAGACCCTGCCTCAGATTCCTGAGTAGCTGGGATTACAGGTATGAACCACCATGCTCTAGAGGCAATCCTTTTAACTTGATTATGTTGTTACAATGCTACAAGATTAACGACTGCATCGTCATTTTACAGATGAGAAGCTAAGGCCTAGAGAGATGATTTTGCAATAACTTTTCATACATCTGGGAAGTAGCAGATATTGGTTGAAATCCTAATTCCAAAGCCTTCCTTGTGCTTTTCCTGCACTATGACATGTTTCTTTGAATTCAGGATTTCATCCATATCAGAGAAAGCTTGCAACTGGCCAAGAAACAGATGCTTAAATGGGCCTACAACATGTGTTTCTGGATTCGTGTGCACAGGAAACCTCTCTTTGAGGCCACTTTCTGTGTTTGTATAAAGGACACAGTAAGAACTGCCTCTCTTTTCTACATAAATAGCTGTAGGATTTAGTTTTCCAGCTCATTCTGTTCCTGCCTCAGGAACTTTGCATTTGCTGCCCCTTGGCTTGGAATGCATCATCCCCAGACCTTGGCATGACTGACTTCTTCTCAAGTGTCAGCTCAGTTGTCATCACCTCAGTGGGCCTGACCCTAACAACCTGCATTTGTCTGCTAGGGCTGCCATAATGAATTACCACAAGCTAGGCAGCTTAACACAACAGAAATTATCCTCTCATGGTTCTGGAGGCCAGGAGTCCCGACGAAGTGTTGGCAGGGCCCTGTTCCCTCTGAAGGCTCTAGGGTAGGTTCCTTTCTTGCCTCTTCATTTTGTGGTGGCTCCATACATTCCTTGGCTCATGGTAGTACAACTCCAATCTCTCCTCTGTCACTGTGTTTCTTTCATCTCTATTATTTTCTTCTTCTTAGAAGAACACTTGTCATTGGGTTTAGAGAACACTTAGAAAATTTAAAATGATCTCATTTCAAGATTCCTAACTAGTTATACCTGCGTAGACCATTTCTCCAAATAAAGTCACAGGTTCCAGGAGAACACATCTTTTGGGGGGCACCATTCAACCTTAAGTAAAGCAGAGTGTGTTGCTGTCATGCTCTGTGACATCAGCATCCACTTTAATTTCTTCAAAGTATTTGCCCTTATTTGATGCATCTTGATCCTTTGTCTGTCTTCTGTCTCCATCTACTTGAATTCAGATTTTGAGTAAAGAGCTATCTTATTACTGTATCCCTAGCGTGTAGAACAATGCTCAGAATCTTATAAGGATTGCCAAATATTTACTGAATAAAGGGATGAATTAATGTTGTTATTGTGCTAATCTGAAGTCAACTCAACTTAGTTCTTTGATTCAACAATTTCTAGGATTTTATTGTATTTTTGTTATGGGTTTCAGTTGTAGCATTCTGGAAAAGCAAACATATTGTGGGACATTTATTTTGCACAGTGGGTAAATATATCCAATCATTGCAAATTAGCCCTCAGTTGCTAACGGGTCTTGTTAGTTCCTGTTGCTTTTACTTTCCCTCAAGAAAGAATCCTTAGCAGTATCTTTCTTTCTCTCTTAGGCTCTGATCACCTCCGAGAGAAAGATGGCCTCTGGGCTGTCTTGGTCTGGCTATCCATTATTGCTGCCCGGAAGCAGAGTGTGGAGGAAATTGTCCGAGATCACTGGGCCAAATATGGCCGCCACTACTACTGCAGGTGAGAAGGCGAAGAATCTTTGCATGTACCCTGGGAAAACTCTCAGAGAAAATTTCTAAAACTGATAGGATAGCACCTTGAGAAGGAGACAACTTTCAGAAACATCTGAGGGACCAAAAGTATGGAGCTAGATTACCCTGATAAGTGTTTAGGGATGATGTCAAGAGCTACCAAACTATAAGGCACAAATTTTGCTTTCCCTAGTGACATCCCTCTCTAGTCTTTTCATCAGTGCCTATGAGGTGGACATAAGAACATATCTGAACTGTAGAGCTCTGAAAACTCCTTTGCTGAGTGTCATGCAGTCAGTGGCAGAAGCATTTCTTGTTAGTTTACCACCTGTACTTGCAAGGAAGGGAGCAGACACAGAAGCTACACTGGGCTGGTGTGCTGTGTAATCCTTTCCTTACCTTTGTCTTACCTGCACATTTATGAACAATGTTCAAGATGCCCAAGCTGGCACCCTTTAAAGGGGCCACATGGTTCAGGAGCCCCAGATTTTGCTAGAGGTTTACTCTCATGAGAAGAGAAACAGAAAAGGGAAATATTACCCAGGAAGGAGGCAAATGAAAGGATGGTAGGCGGGAGCTTAGGGTAGTCTGTCTCCATCCCTTTCATCTTACTGAAGTAAGAGAGAATAAGAGTATTCCAGGGTGTGCTTGCCTGCTAGGTATGTGAAGCAAAGTATGCCAGGTACATGCACCTAGTACCAAGCCATAGTTGCAAAGGATGTTAACTGTGGAGACCTCAGGGAGGGACAAAAAGGACTTTGGGGTAGCCTGGGAGACTATTAAAAACAAAGAAATTGTGACTCATTTTACTTTGCTCATGGATAGTTAACTGCTTTGGGTGTTCAGTTGTGTTTCAAGAGCTTGGGGGACAAAAAGAGCCTTAGACTTTTCCCTTATAAGGTGATTGTTTCTGCTCTTAAGAAGCCATTTACTTAGATAAATATCAAAGAATAAGGAAGAGTTTGATGGTGCTTATTAAACACAAAGAGATTGCAATGTCCTGGTAAATGTAGACAACATTACCAGGACCATAATATTCACGGGTCCTGTTTAGTCAAGAAGGCTGGGAGTGGGATAGCCTGAACATGACCCTAAATTATTCATTGCATCATAAAATATGGATTTGTAAAGCAGGTAAGAACTTGTCAAACTCCTTTTGTGGAGTTTTATTTATTTATATATTTTGCACATACATTTAATCAGCACATGAAATCCTTCTATTACATGAAGCTCTTCCAAAAATTTCAACCTGATAAAACATATTGTGACTGCCAACGTCTGGCTTAATGAGACCTTTTTGAGTCAGAGATGCTGGTCTCATAATTTGTGGAATAATTATCTAGGTTCCTGCCAGTGTTTTGAAGAAATGGTGTTATGATAAGTATATTTATAATATAGTTCATTTTTGTAGCCAAGAGCTTGTAGTCTAATCACCTTTTTCATAACAAATACCATATTAGAGAATAGTATGCAATGGAGATTTAATTTCTTGTAGGACATTGAATTATGTTACAGATTTCTGTCCAAAAAGATCACAGAGAAAAAGAAAAAGGGAGGAGGGAAAAGGTAGAAGGAAACACAAACATTTCCTTTAACTCCAGCAGATGGCAAGTTGGGAGATGTTTTTGAAATAAATGATTTCTAGCCTGACAATTTTCTTGGCAGGGAGGAAATAACACAATTTCAGTTTAACTAATACTGAGCCTAAAGTTTAGCTGAAAAAATCTTGCACAGTTTTCCTTGTTTGAAGCAGTTCTCATTTGACCATTTCATCTGTTGAGAGATAATATGTTGACAGTGGTGGTGGTGGCTGATGGGGAGGACACTCAGGGTAGTGAGGGGAAGGTGGTTCCAGACCCTGCTTGTGTATAAGATAAACACTTGGGTATGCTGTTCTGATCTCAGCCATACACTAAATAATCCACTAGTGGATTTTCTCAATTTTTGAATTTCTTTCAATGCCTCTATCTCTCTAGACTCTCCTACCCCATTCTCCTGCTCCTTTCTAGGTTAGATCTTTTTTATTCTTGATGCAGAGTCTTGCTATGTAGCCCAGGCTGGCCTTGAACTCATGATCCTCCTGCCTTGGTCTCCCAAGTGCCAAGATTATAAGCATGTACCACCACACTTGGCTCTTGGTTATATCTCACCTTCCCGAAATTATTATCCTTAAAGAAAAGCTAGTCTTAGAACACATGTACACTGACAGTGTTGTAAGGAGTTCCTTGTTGTTTTGTTTCTGAAACTGGGAAAAAAACAAAGAAGCACCTTGTGTAGGAGGAAGAAAATAAAAGAAAGGGATATAGATATGGGGACCCTTTGCTAGACATTGGATCATTCCATGTCCTCCATTTATTAATGCCCTGATGTTTACTGGAAGTCTTAAAGCTCTTGGGTAGAAAAAAGTAGCAACAACTATTCTGAGCTTCCTTCACTTAGCTCTGAGAACTCACATCTTTTCTCTATGCTACAGGAAGACCAATGTGAGGTCCTGTCATAGCTACTTGGGCACAGCTGCCCCTCGTTGGGCTTCTTCCATAAGCAGGCCCTGCTGGGTGTGCCAGTAAGTCTCAGTCAAGACTATCTGATGTCTTCTAATGACTGAGAATAAAAGTAGTTAACAGATTTTAAGCTCTGATGCCAGGCACTGTCCCAGCTGCTTGATATGCATTATATGTTAAAAGCTCCAGCAACAAAATGGATAGGGATGATTTTTTAGTCTTTTTTTTTCCTTCTAATCATCACCCAACCCCACTGTTATATTTGATGCTTTGGCTAGGAGGACTTTTTTAAATGGAGCAATAATGACACTTCTTCCCAGTTTCCAAGAGAGTTTTATGGTGTGTTCAGTTCATTTTCTCCCTCTGTTTTTGCCTCCCTGTCTTTTCCCTACCATCCTTTCTCCTATGTACCATGCTCTAGATGTAGTAGAGAGCTAAGGTCTGTGCCCTCCGGGAGCTCAAATTCTGGTGGGCAAAGACCCATATTCAATAAGTAAACAAATATAGAAACAAGCTAGCTAGCTAGATAGATATGGAAACAAACCATATATATTTTCCCCTGTGCTTATTTATATGCATTATATGTATATATGTGACAAGATTGGGAAGTAATAAGATTGGGAAGGGAAGGAAGCTACCTAAGTAGATGGGTACTAGGGGAAGGATGCTCACTTTCTGGAGGAGACAGTAGGTTTGAAGATTGAAAAAAGAGGATGAGCCAGCTCTTTGAATGCGCTAGGTGTAGAGGAATAAGAACATGGGGTAGAGGGAACAGGCCCAGATGCAGGTGAGGGTAAAGTGTCACTGAGGACTAAAGAGTAGTCATGGTGGCTGGAGCAAATGAAGACAAAACGTGGAACGAAGTCAAGTGGGGAAGGGTCAGATCCCACAGTGTGTGATGGACTGTGGTTGGCATTCTGTGTTTTGTTCTCAACATGATAGCTGTTTTGGGAGGGATTTTACAGAAGGGAGTGACATGATTTATTTTTACAATTCCACTTTGGTCACTGCTTGGGGCTGAATTATAAGGGCCATTTGGAAGAGGGGAGACCAGGTGAGGGTACTCTCTATGCTCTCTTTTGCTGAAATCAGAACCAATGATTAGATGACCTTAAAAGGCTCACTCAATTACTAATTCTCTTATTGGGTGTTTTGTTCTTCCTGTGTCCTGTCCTCCCTCAATAGGTTTGACTATGAGGGCCTGGAGCCCAAGTCGACATATTATATTCTGAGGGACCTGGAGGCCCTGGTCACAGACAAGTCCTTCATTGGCCAGCAGTTTGCTGTGGGGAACCACATCTACAGTGTGGCAAAGACAGACAGCTTTGAATATGTGGACCCTGTGGATGGCACCGTGACCAAGAAACAGGTACTTGGCTAGGCAATCACCAAAACAGATCACCAGGCAGAACTGGTGCCCAAAGCATCCTAAAACTAGAGAAGTCTTTTGGAATGGTCTGTTCTGAGCCCTTCATTTTACACAGAACTCTGCAGACTGGGAAGCAGTCCTTGATGAAGGCTACCTCACTAGTTAGTCACAGAGGGTAGATTAGAACATGGGTCTCTCTATCCAGTATTCTTTCCATTTGGTAACTGATGGGCCAATACCTTAAACAGGCATAGGCTCAACATTTTCTTCCCAAGTGTTTGCAGCCTACAGGTGCTTTTATGTGGTGGCCATTATTGATGACAGATTCAGAGAAGTATTTAAGAGCAAAAGATCAGGGGCCCAGGGAATATTTCCCTGTCACTGAAGAATCCCAGAAGCTTAGCCATATGAATTCAGTACTATAGGGAAGAAGCAGTTGGGAATTTTTCCAGAAAACCCAAAAGAAAGATTTATGGCTAAGAATGAGTATGATAGATAAGTGTCAAAAACAATCACAACTCTATTGGGGTTTCGCCTTTGTGAATTGTGTAAGAAAAGTTGCTAGCTACTATGCTTATTTGTATTTTCCATTTTATGTATTTATTGGTTATGGCAAATACTGACCCCTCCAAGAGCACATTACAGTCCTTAATTTTTGCAGTCTAAATAATACAATCAGAATAGTTTCAAGTGAAGCTCAATTCCTAACTTCTCACCTTTTTATATCCCTTTCATAAGTACAGACAATAAAATAACTAAGGAGCTGCAGGTCTTTGGCAACTAGATGTAGTATAGTTACTGCTGTTTTCATTCGACAAGCACTTCCTACACCCTCTTTCTCATAGGACCCCCTGTCTTGCCAGTACTCCAAATTTTGATGCCTTCTTATTATTCTCTTGGTCCTCTCTGGTCCACTTAGCTTTATAGTGATTTTTCATCTCCATCAAAATATTGGCCCTTCCTTCTAGAAGCCCTTATATGGTTTTACAAATCAGTTGCAGCCTCAGTTTTGGAAAGGTGAGGGCAGTAGAGAAAACAGTGGGTAAGAAGCTAGAAGACTCAGAATCAAATCCTGTCACTTACTAGCTGCAACTTTGGGAATGTTGCCTAATTTGTTCGGGTCATAGCTTCTTCCTCACCTGTGGAATACCTATGTCATAGAATTGTTCTAGGAATAGAATGAAAGAAAATACACAAAAGCTCCTAGTTATCCTTTTTATAGTTTGTACTAAGCTCTTTTTTGTACGTGTGTGTGTGTGTGTGTACACGTACGTGTGTGTGTGTGTGTGTGTGTGTGTGTGTGTGTTTGTGTTTCCCTCAAGGATAGCTGCTTGCAGACAGGACTGAATTTGCTCTGCAGTAACAGCAGTGAATCAGTCCTTGGAGAAGAGAAGTCAGGGCTTGGCTGGCAACTTTGAGTCCCTGTGCCTTGGGTCCATGTTTTCCAGTTTTGTGCCCCATTCCCATTTCCATTCTACACAGGGTCATCTGGGCAGACTTTCCCCAAATCCAAGGTTCATTTCATTTTTGTTGCTGTAGGATTCAGCAGACATGAAAAATGTGCTTTGTAAAGAATCTTTGGGAGGGTTTTGCTCACTGATGACAAAGACTTAGAAACTCTCCTTGGAGGGATTGGTCCAGTCAACTGAATTCTGGGCTTTATCTGGTTGTGAGAAGCTTGTCTGTTGAACTAATTTGTTTGGCTGTCTAATCTGGTATTTCGCTACCTTATATCTTCTTCAATGTACTCAGCGTTTGGATGCTTTTTTGTTGAATGTTCTTTAGCCATTCGTTTCAGGTGGATTCCTCAACTGGATCTCAAGTTATGACATCAGTTTATTCCATCTTCCTTCTCCCTCCATAACCACAGTATTGGTTTCCATTTTAACTCTGGAATTTATTGAGTTTTTTTCCTTTCCACACTGTCCCATTGGAGCTCAAATGTGGCTATAAATAGATAAGTGTTACCAGGACCTGCTCTAGGGAATTTTTCTAGTAAGAAGGAAAGAAGACTGTTGTTCATTTTCCCAGATTTTAGGACTGTAGTGACATCTTTATTGGCCGGTGGCCCTGAATCACAGTGGGATTTCTCTGCAGGTCGGGTTTTGGTTCAGTGAGAGCAATAAGGAACCAGTTAACACTCAGCAGCATCTCCACTGTTAGCCAATCACAGATGATTCTTTTGCCACAGTTGGTCCTATTGAGTCCTATGTAGGGGGGAGTCCTGCATAGCAGGGCTGTGCCACTCTCTTAGGATATCAACAGACATCAGCATTCCATCTTGTGGTAGTTGAGTCTGGTGCACATGTCAGGTGATCAATATACATATACTTTTGGAACTATGGACACCTAAAAGACATTTGAATTTAAGTCAACTAGGATCATTTCAAAATACTTATAAAATAGTGCATTCAGTGAGTAGATATATATTGAGAGTCTACCAAATGCATGATTTTGAGTTTTTTATGATACAGTTTTTAGTATAAATATATAACAGCTTTATTGATATATAATCACATACTATATAATTCACTCATTTAGAATGAACACTTCAGTGGTTTCTACATTTACAAAGTAGGCAATCATGCCTACAGTCAATTTTAGGACATACTCACACACTCCCCCCAAACAAGACTTTGTATTCTTTAACAGTCACCTCCCTTCCCACACCCCTCTAGCACTCAGCTCCTGGCAACCACTGACCTACTTTCTGTCTCTATGGATTTGCCTGTTCTGGACATTACATATAAATGGAGTCATGTGTGGTCCTTCGTGACTAGCTTTTCTCACTTAGTGCACTGTTTTCAGGGGTCATTCATGTTGTACTATGTATCAGTACTTCATTCCTATTATTGCTGGGTAATATTCCATTGTGTATATTTGTTTATTCATTATCAGCTGATGACATTTATTTTGCTTCCACGTTTGACTTTTATGACTAATGCTGCTGTGGATTTTCACATATATGTGGTGCACACAGAGATTTTCCATTCTCTTAGCATATAACTAGGAGTGGAATTGCTGTGTCAAATGTAGGTACCTAAATCTTAGAGGAACTGTCATATTGCTTCCAGAAGCAATTAAGCCTGTGTTCCCACCAGGGGTGCATGAAGTTTCCAGTTTTTCTACATCTTTGCTAGCCCTTGTTATTAGGTCTTTGTTATTTTAGGATACTATTATTTTAAAACATTATGAATTATTTCAAAATTAAGACAGGACATTTGAACAGAAGTATGTCTATCTGTTAGCAAAACCCAAAGAAAACATAATATTGCAAAGTCTATATTTGCTGTGGGAGGCAGATTGCTATGGTCCTCATCAGTGTTCTATTGCCTGGGAATGAGATAGACACAGGTTTGAAGACTGGCTTCATCACTGTCTAGATTTGTGACTTTGGTTGTGCTGCTTAACATCTCTGAACTTTACTTTGAGGGATGGCGGTGATGGTAATCACCATGTAGGGTAATGGAGAAGGTTTGAGGAGAAAGTTATATAAAGTCCCTGGTACAGTGATATCTGATCCATGCTCAAGAAATGGTAGTTTCTTCCCCCAGTAAAATCCTTAACCTGACTATCAGTGTGAGGAAGTATTTAGTGACTTGCTTCTAACAATTTTTACAAATGATGTGTTATGAAAAGATGTAACTTCCATCTTGGGTAGTCTCTCTCTCTCTCTCTCTAACAGACACACACAATTGAGTATATATTCTCAAAAATAATCTTTGGAATACCTTAGAATTAGAAAACATTTCCCCAAAACTTCTGTTTACTCTATCTCTAAAATTCTTTGCAGTGAAATTTGAGTTCAGATTGAGGATCCCAAGGTAATGGGAAATTCCTAGCTATTTCTTATTTGTTTTAAATTCTACTTCCAGGTAAAAAGAGATAACAGACGTGATTTTCAACAATTTTTTTGCTATTCCCGTTTTATCCAGAAATTATCTCTAAATACAATATTCTGTTCCAGAGCATTCCATGCCTGCAAAGGGCATGAGCAACTTCAAGCATGTAGTCCTCATGTCAGGGTGTCTTGGGTTTGTGTCTTAATTCTACCACCTCCATGCTGGGCTATAGCCATTGGGAGAGTTAAATAATACATGAAAATTACTGGTACATGACAAACACCAGTAAATAGTTAACTAAAATTAGTTATGTTAAAGGAGCATCTTTGGAAGGACCTGGGGTGTGGCTCAGTGATACAGCGCTTACCTAGCATGTATAAGGATCTGGGTTTACTCCCCAGCACCACAAAATAAAAAAAAGAAAGATTTTTGTCATTTGAGGAACCACATATGATAAGAAAAGCCAGAGAAAAAAAACATACATGGTGTCATGTGACACCTCTTTCACTTCTGATTCATCTGTAACTCAAACTCACATTTCTCTGCCTATACCAAGTCACACCCTCCCCTCCCCCCACCCCAACACATACATTCTGATTGAGAAAGGAAAAGTCTTTTAAGGCATTTTAGGCTCTGTTTTGTCCTTAATCTGAGGTCAGAGTCAGGAAATAGATCATGGGGGAAGAAAACTGTTTCACCTACATCTCTAGAAATAAAGTAGAAATGCTTTTCCAACCAAAATGAAATGAAAATCCTATTCTGGCAATAAGCCCCCAGCCAGCCCCGGTGCTGTAGAAATATTCAGGGAAGTCTGTCCTGCCTGAGAGGCCTGTGAGGGTCGCTCAAGGAGCAGAAGGAAACCCTGAAGCACTCCACCCAGACACAAACTTCCACAGAATTGGTCACATGAATGACAAAGGCTGGTTTCTTCAAATATGAGTGGGAATAAGCCAATAACTACTATGAGAGTTAGGAAGCCATTTGATCAAATTGCTGACAGTTTAAGAAGTTCACAACTTATGCCTTGTAATAAGATGAAAAGGGTAAGCAAAAGTTGGGCAATCCATGGGACTGAGAGTGCCTACTCTCTCCAGTGGTAAAGTCATTATGCATACATGTGGGTTTCTTTTGTGTCATCCTCCCTCCCTGCACCATTAG